AAGAGCTGGGGTTACACGTACTCTAACCCTGGTATGTCCTTTGATGATCCTCCTATTGCTTAGTCGAGACACCACAAAATCGACCCCAGTGCTTACGTAATCTGGCGGTCGAGCGCAGAAGAGCTCTGGGTCGAGATTGCTTGTAAGTGTGACATGTAGATGACTGCTCGACAGTCATGCTCGACGATTGAAAGGAATGTTAAAAAATCATTACACCTCTGAAGGTTTCATCCAAAATAAGTACAATATACTTATTTCAATAGGAATCTTAATATCGCCAAGTTTAAGAAAATTAAACAAGTTAAGCGTTAGGAATTCTACTGTGCGTTACAGACAAATACACATGATATAAGAAATATTCAAAAGTAGGTTGAGTTTGATCGTCCGGGTGAACGTAGTCCTAAGTAGGACTGTTGTTGTTGACAGTGACTGACGTTTCGCCAACCTGTGCGGTAGTCATCTTCAGAGTCAAAGTGAGTTGTATCACGTCAGTTGATGGTATTATACTCTGGTTTTCGATCTGACTGGTCAATTAAGTCGCAATGTTATTGATAATCTGTCAGTTAAGCCGTGGTGTTATTGCCTATGAAGACTTGCAATCAGTAATTGGTGCGTTTCGATCTGTCTATTGTCACAGTTAAACAGTGCAGATAGCAATTAGTTTAACAGTTAAGAGGTCAGCAAGAGAGCGTCGATCAAAACGAACTAGTGCAGTTATTCAGAAAATATGCCACGACATTGACAACCGATGGTAAGTCACCGCAAACAAGATTCAATATAAACCAGCTTTCTAAAGCACAACGTTGATACTAGTCTGTGGAATATGTTATACATGTTATCTTATAATACTCACTTTGACTCTAAAGATGATGTTAGGGTTAGGGTTCGGGTTAAGGGTAGGGTTAGGGCTAGGGTTACGGTAAAGGGTTAGGGTTAGGGGTTAGGGTTAGGGTTGCGGTTAGGGTTGAGGTTAGGGTTAGGGTTAGGGGTTAGGGTTAGGATGACAGGTTGTCGAAACGTCTTGACAGTGATTTGCTATTCTCTCCATTGGAGACTGAAAGTGAGTCATGCAAATATCACTATCTTTTTAAGTAATGAAATAACTAAAACCCGAGCTGGGTACTGAATTAGGAGTCAAATTAGGGTCTTTTTGGATGGATAAAAGGAGCAATATTTGTTTCTGACACTAGTGTAATGTTGGAACTCCATTTAAACATTACAATAATTATACTGGCGGTTTTTAATTTTTCCTTTGTATTTGGTTTAATGCTAAGCATGTCAAATTTAAAGTATTTTTATTCTTGGCAATATTTCAATATCCTTTTCTCGCTAGAATGAAAACGTTACAATTTACAGGATGTAATTAATTTTCAAACCCCAACTACTTCCATATATAAACCTTGTACATATAGTCATAAAATAGTAGAAAACGAATTAAATCAAATCTCTTTAAAATGGTGCGGATATGAATAAAAATATATAGGAAAAATGGATGTGACAAGTCATGTGACTCATCCTTTCATGAAAAGGGTCAGTCCTCATAAAGTTCTAAACTATGAAATTCTTTTTGAACCAGACCACCATCTACAAATTTCCTGAGACCCATTTCTTATTTTTTGCTTAGAAATCGATTTTTTTTTCAAACGCTTAGTTAGGGAAGGAAAGTTGAGGCTTATCACTAGATATAGTGTAACGCTATTTTTATTTTATTTCTATGGATCGATCAACGGTTTCCCTGTCTACAAAAATGTAACAACTGGAATTACCTCCGAGAAAATTTTGAAAATCTGCGTAAATCAAGAGGTTCCCAAGGAGAAGATATGTTCCACAGTACCAGCTGGCGTGACAGAGAATGCAGGGTTTGTCGTGGACCTGGAAGCTGTTAGCTACAAAGACCTCACCGTGGATGGTAATGGTGTCTAGTATGGAGCGCATTCCAGCTTATCTGAGAACTTTTAGGTCTTTCTAGACGGCCAGGGAAAGATCAGCGCGATGACAAGGATTGGAAGGTCTAATTCGGAAGCTAAAAGAAGCCTCTTGAACGCATTCGACCTCTTCACTATCCGAAGGCAATACGGCTGGTCTAGTCAAAGCAAAGATTTCCAGCATATGATTGCAAAAGTCGAACATGAAGATAAATTCCTGCGCTTAGCGGTTATGCAGTACACAGTAGAGATGACACCACAAGAAGCAAAAATGCTTTTATCAAAGCCATACGGTAGCTCCCAAAGCACTTGGGAACCTCATGTAAGAACTAAACCGAGTGTACTGCAAGAAATAAGGAAAATGAGTCACAAGAGCAGTGCAAAACGGATAAGCAGTGAAACTGAAAAGGAAGGTGGTGTTGTTTCAGTGGTTTCTCCTTCAGACATTCCAAAAGATAGGCAACAAGTTTACAATCAACTTCGGAAAGTTGAAAGGGAGGAAAAAGGTTCGTAGCACTGGTCCAAGTAAGGCTCCAGGCATCACCAAGTTATTATCATTACAGCAAGAGGGAAATTTCCTCCGTAACGTAAGCCTGGGGACAAGACCAAAAAGTGATGGAGAAAAACGAGCGGCAGCCAGTACTTTTTGCAGCCACCGACTACACCATCGGATGGATGAAGCGATTCTGTCAAGTTGGTTCAAATCCATCAGCAGTGGCTGGCGTTGATATGACCTATAAGCTCGGGCCCTTTTATGTCACCACGGTGACTTTGCCAAATCCAATGTTCGCCTACAAGAACAACAGAAATAAGCACCCGACAAACTTTGGCAGCGATAACAAACTCTGTTTCGAAAGAAAAGCGTGATTATGTGTACCTGGCAAGATCGTTGAAGTCTGAAGGGATGCAATCTCTCGTGTACGGAACCGACGGCGATTGTGCCCTTGTTTTAAGAGCGTATACCCCATAGATAAGTCTCCCCAAGGCAACATCCATCATCGTTGTTTTGACCACGCAAAAGTAGACATTCTCAAGAAACAAAACGAACTGAACGTCTCCGAGGCAAAAAGGAACAATAACCAGCAAGAAATCTTTGGAAAAGAATTTGGTGGTAAGCGAGTTCTAGGTTTAGTCGACTGCGAGCATGACGCAGAATTTGAACAAGCTTACGTCATTAAAGAATGTCAATGGCCAGAAGAATTTAGGCACTGGATGTTCACAACAAAAGGTAGACACAGGTGCATGAAAGATACTTTGAAACATTTTATGTACTTAGATATTTCTACCCAAACAAAGACGAACAGGGAAAGGTCACAATGGTGCCTACGTGGACCAAAGAAGTGTCAAAGTTTTACTTTGTAAAGAAAGAATGCATCTTACGAAAACATTCTTCCATATGGAAAGGAATGATCAAGATTACTTTTGATAATTATGTGCAACATAAGTTAAAGGACTGTCACTTGAAATTGTTGAAGGAGGTGTTACATCTGTCTCTTTGATTGTCTTTCTGCAGACTTTTATTCCCTCTCGTTTTGTTCAGTTTAGTTTTGTTATTTTAAGTTCGGTACGCCAATCGTGACCACACGTCAAATTAAGAGCGGGCGGTTTTGAGGGTCTTTTCTTAAAGCGGTAGAGTCTTTACTAGCGCTAAGGGTCAGGCAAGGGGGGAGTGGGGGATATAAAGTCAGCACTTTTCATTGCAGAAATACCGGTTTAGATAAAAATTGCAAATCTCTGTCAATCAAGCCGCTGTTAAAAAAAACTTTGTCACCAAAGGTTGGTTTATTAAAGCATGCATGCTTATAGAAGGCGAACAGAGGCGGATATTGCACTTGATATTTTACGCCGCCGAGATATTTTAGCATTTTTTACAGCCGGACTTCACACCTGGTCTTTCACGTCACTGCAGGAAACATACAGTATATCGGCGGCGTGAAATATCGAGCGAAAACTTAACCAATGAAGGTCAGGCCAATAGGTTTCATACTTTTTTATTGCTTTTATGTTGCTGTATAGTTCTTAATTGTTATCCACAGTTCCATCATCTAGAAGTTCGTAGTGTACGGGAAATTAAAAAGCTACTGGAAAGTTTTAGGAAAATTTTTTTGCCCAAAAGAATATTGAGAGACCATAAAAGACAGTCTGTGTTTTAGTATTAATAATTCTGATTCTAATTTAGTATTGACAATTTATTAATTAATTAATGATTTCTAATTAATAAGAAAGAACCTTTACTAAATCTTCCGTACTGGTGTTATTTAACACAGAAGTATGGTCAAGTATCTGTTGTTAATAAGAGTCGTTTGGTTATGGTTGCATATAAAACTAGAATTTTACTCTTACGGCCAGCTATATATTTATTTATATTATTATTATTTTGTTGTTTGTTTTTGTTGCTATTTTTTTTAGATGAGAGTTTCATTCTGATTGATATCGTTAATCTGCGATGGTTGTCTGTTTATTCGAAAAAAGGGAAAATGGACAATAAAAACAGGATTTGCAGCAGCCGTTACAACAGGGGATTAATGTCCTTTTCCCGTTCTTTTTCTTATGCGTGACGAGTTTAAGAACACGTCGATTTCTTTATTGTCGTGAAATCATACACAAACTCATTTTTAAATCATTTAGTTGTTTTTGTTTAGTTTTTCTCAAATATCCGTGTTTTTTTTTTGTGCCGGTTTCCTTTCATTTCGTTTTGTTTCCTTTTGTTTCGAATTAGCGAAAAAAAGAAACCAGAGATAATCCGAAGCCTTTTTGTCAGAATCGTCGGCTTCTGGTGTTTTCTATTGTCCGATCGAGTGCCTGGGTTACTACGCTACAAAAACGTCATGATGTTTATTCTCCTCAAATTCTCTTGATTCTGACTAGATCTTAACACCCATAATCTGAAAATCTGATAATCTGATGGTTGATGTCATCCAAGCCAAAGCAAAACCAAAGCAAGGCGTTTGATGTTATTCGGACGTACTGAGGTATTGTGGATTCGTGTCCTTCTCATTGGTGTTACCCTCGGGTTTAAAAGATAAATAAAGATGTGTACCATCAGCATACACATGCACAGTAGGCAAATGCTCCTTGATGGCCTAGAACAACTTGCTAGCGTAGAGGGCTAAAAGGAGAGTTCCCGGGTAGGAATCCTGTAGTACCCCACATGTTAGCTGAAAGGTATCACAGATCCCATCACCAAATGCAACACGCTGTGACCTGTTCTACTGGTAAGAGTGAAACCAAGCTAGTGAAATTCCTTTGATGCCAAAATGATGTTTCAAGGCGACTAAGAAGAACGTGATGACCGACTGTGTCCAACGCCGCGAAATGACTACGTCAGAATGTCGTTTCCAGAAAACTCGAGGCTTCAATGTTTTAGGGCAGCACCACTTTCCATGGTAACCCCAAATACTGAGTCACGAAATCCTATGCGTTGTGTATATGTAGAAAATCACTTGAAAACGTAAGAAGTCCCGGGCGTCACTGGGTTAAAACAGGAAAGCTTGGCTTCTTCTTTTTCGCACAAGATCTACTATCCGATCGCCCAATTCGGCCTCATAACACCCTGCTTTAATCTTGTCTCAAAAGAGGTAGTTTAACGCACCCGTGTATCATGGAGTTGCCACCATGAAATCAGGAATGTGGAATTGTAAATTGGGGCATTTTACGCTCCCCGGATTAAAAATGATATAAATTACAAGTATACTAATCCATGAGTAAGCGACAACACCAATTTTTTGTGCTGATCAAAACGATTTAGGCTTCTAGGAACAAGAATGAACCGGATATATTTTCGTGCTCTAGCGAATAAACTACTCATGCGTGTGTAATCGTACTTTCATCGTTATAAACGAAGAAAAGGAGAGAATCTAAAGCCTCTCAACCCAACCCTAACTATGGCCACCACCTTCCCTTTCCCATAACCTGCGGCAATGCCATGGCATTTTCCTGTGAACCATACTTATCTTGGTGCTCTTGTTTTTCCGAGCCAGTACTTAACACAAACTGACAGAGACGAGTGCCATTTTTACAATTTATTCGCTGATAGGTTAACCTATACGTTATAACAATGAGACTCAATCTTTCTCCAATGCCTTGCTCTTGAGAAAGCGTCTTGTTGTGTACTTGCTTTGCTCGTTGTTGTATAGGTTTTTACTGAACACCTCAAGTGTGTAGGGCGAGAGCCTCACACTTTCTCTGATTTTAAGTCTACTTTGATGAGAACGTGTTCGTGGTGTTCTTTCTCATTTGCGAATCATGAGCTGGAGTCCGGTATTTGAATTGATCCAATGGGTGCTAACGTTTTCTAAAACACTCAACAGATAAGCGCCCCATTGAGATCGTAAATACACAAGAAAGCCACCAATCTTGTATACGTACAACAGTGGGTGTAGGTGTGGACGTGTATCAAGTTAGTTCAACGTGTTTTTACGCACATCATTCAGTAAACGTTTAAGTGAAGGCGACGAGCCGTTGGTGATCAGTGTTTTCAGTTGATTTCTTTTAATTATTGTCCCTGATACAGCGCGATCCCTATTTTGTTATGTGCAGGAAATTACAACAATTATATGATTTGGACACATATTTTGGTCACAACAAAAGTAGCATTCCAAGCTCATGATTTGTAAACTAAAGATAACTAATTATGTAGGATCGTAGTTTAAAAGGCGACTTGCTTCACATCTAGGAAAAGATTAAGAAGTCTTGCCTATCAAGCCTACCTTACAGAAATTGGCCAATTGAAAGGATACCATGCGCATTTTGATAACTTCTCGCAATTCAAGCTTTTATCACATTGTGCTTTGCTAGGTGAATAAAAGGTACTCGAAATTCAAATCATTTAAGCTTATCTAACCTTCCTGACTAAAAGAATTGCATAGTTTGCAGTGCTTTATTATATACTGCAAACGAAAAAAATCTAATGCAATTTTTCATTCAGCAGCGACAGTTAAAGGCTGATATTCCTGTTGACCTTTAAGCTTCTTTCTTTTCAACAGAAGGTAAGCAACAGCCATAACACAGACCGCCACAGCTGCTACTAGAGCGATGTTGAGAGCGGCACTTCGACCTGTAAAGTAATAAAAGAATTAGATAGAGCCATTATCCACATCATGAATCTGCGTCCGTAAAGAACAGGACAACCAGTGCTCGCATTAGTTTCCATGAGTGATGTAACTGGTACAACTGAGCCTCTCTTTGCCGGTATTTCCCGACGACTTCTATATCGCAAAGTTCGCTGGTATTGATGCAGTGACGATTTTAGAGATTAAAAAGACGGTCGCGTTGCCATTCTAGTCAACTTTGACAAAGTAAGTAGTGCAATGGCAGCAAAGAAATCTGCTATAACGTGTGCTGCACGTCTTTATTTTTTTTCCTCATTAAACCCATTGCTTTTTTTTTTGGCTTGTAGCGATTTGGTGAGCAAATACCCAATAACAGGCAATCTCTGATTGTTACATTCCAGTCGGTTAATTATATAAGAATTTGTATTTTTTGGTCCGAGATTTCTAATACATGTAAGTTGCAAACAGGGAATGTGTCTTCTCATTATTTCATTCCACCGACAGTACATGTCGGATTAATTTCCGAAGGTAACCCAAAAACTTACGAGAGTCATCCAGAAAAACCCGACGGCTTTCGATGGTTCAGAAACAATGGCATGAATGTAACACAAAAAAATAAAAGGCCTTTTCTGAGATGCTCGAGAATCTGTTTCAAAGCGAGGCTTAAAGTGCAAAGCCATTGATCCGAAAATACTTTTTTGTTGTTGTTCTTATGCAAATAAAACTCATTTTCACAAGAAAGGTTTTTCACTTAATAGCTTCTCTTTGAAAGTGAGAGTTTTTGGGACTCGGATATGGCCAAAAGGGTGTGAGAAGATTGCCTGATTGCTAGCCCTGGAAGAATGAATTTTGAACTTACCACCTTTCTCCAGAGCACGGAGTTCTTTTTCTGTTTCTTGAAGCTCTGTTTTCTCATCGCTGTCTTCTCGCATGAAGGGTCCTTGGGCGAGAGTGACTTCATCATCCTTAGATTCCAGAGTCGTTACGGCTCTCTTGGCTCGTCGGATACATCCCTGTGCGCAACGCGAGTTAGGATCAGACGCGTTACAGATCTTCACTCTGCAGTGCATATAGACAAACATATGATCACCCACGAACGCGAAGGCCTCTAGACTGAATTTCTGTGTACGTTTGTCATTTGTTGGGTGGAATTTGACCGTTTTATCCACTGCGCATCTGTAAGAAAAAAAAGAGTAGTTATTAAGGAGAAACATGATATATTACAATGCCTTTAGTGATGTACTGCAGCACCAAGGCAGACAAGGGAGAGGAGGTTACTAGATGAAGGGTAAAGTGTCAAAAGCACTAATATTTTATACTATTAGACTATGTTCTCACCAGTACTGGATAGCTTTTTGTGACAACATGAAAAGCTATTCGTCATAATACGAGCACCTATATATATCTGATATGCCGTGACACTCCACTTTAGTGATCGGCACGGCGCAGCTTCTCTCCGTTAAGAAAAAGGTTAGAAATTACCGAACAGTATCAGGTATGGATTTCGAGCTGCCTAATAATCATCATCATCAGCAGCAGCAGCAGCAGCAGCAACATCATGATGATGAAGATGATGGCAACGATGACCATGATCATGACGATGACGATGATGATGATAGATTAACCGTATTTTTGTTGTATGTTTGACGGCAGTCAACCATGCCGCTATGCGCACGCATTTGGTGAAATGGTCCTTACCCGTCTTTTATGAAGGTATATTTGGACACTCCAGGTTTACTTGGGTTCGGATCCGGTGTAGCAAAACATTCTTCTCCCAAAATCTCCAGTCTCTTGTCTTGTGTGTCTACTCCTATCTTAACATAGAGCGTCTTCCTGAGGGGAACCTTCACTGGGAAGTCCTTTTTCGTGTAATGGCCGAGATACCGATTGTCTGGGAAGATATTCATCTCCAGTACAAATTTTCCAAGTCCTTTCTTGGAGAAGATGACCTTCTTGCTCTTTACTTCAAGGCCAACAGAGGAAACGACTCCTGCATTTGAGTAACAACAGGTGAAGGGAATCTCCACCTCTCGCACTCGTGTGATGATCTGATGAGGGGCCACTGGGATTTCTAATACATTGTTGGTATAGCTGACGAAATGTTTGGTACTCCTACTCAACGTTTGGCATCCTGTCAGTTTGGTATGTAAAATGAAGTGAGTTTTGGTTTCTTTAGCTCCACATTTTAGGTCATTCAGACGAAGATGTTCCCTGTCTAGGCCATGAAGGATGTATTTTGGTATGCTTATCCACATTTCGTTCTTGCCACATGTGAGGTTAACACCTACAGGACGGGAGAATGTGTAAGTTAAAAAGTAAGCATAATCGATGGAACGTTGTTTTGAAATCTACTTTGAGTTCTTCGTTGGTTTATCATTTACCGTTGCGGTTGCCTTACTATGCGTTCCTTAGTATTCGCGGCAATGAGGAAGATGAATAGAACAGATAGATGGATTCATGCTTTCACTAATCAATGGATGTACTCAATATACACTGAAATGGATCAGATCTATACGTAGGGGATAAGAGAATGACATGGACAAATACGCCGTCTGTCACATATAAGTGGATCGATGGCGGGAAACACGTACAGATGAATGGATGTAGTATATAGATCTAGGGCTAAAAGCGAAGCTCCCGTTAATACAAAGCAACGATAATACATTAAATGATGGTGGGAAGGCTGTGTGCGAAATTTCTGAACCAATCGAAATACAAACGGACTACTCAGCAGATATTCTTTAAATTAATGAAGCGGATGTGTCTATTGATGATTTAAATGCAGTGAGGTTATGAAATATTTTTGACATTCCAAGATGCATTATTTGTTACCTTTAAGATCGATCAGTACTCGCCAGGCTAATTAGTAAATGAAAAGTAATTTTCTTACCTGGTGGAGTGGGTGAGGTTGGTGATGGTGGTGTCGTTGTGAGGCCTGAAAGGAAAGGCATAACATACAGAGTGTTACATTAATTTATTCCTATCGTGAGAAGCATTAAAATTCAATTTTAAACTAAAAGCAGTGAAATTGCAGAGGTGAAGAAATTGTTCCCCGTTTATTCCCAAATAAAAAGTAAAGAAATAAAGAAAAGAAAAAAGACGATGACATATTTTTTTGAATTCATAGCATGGATTCTATATTATCATGGTTCACCAGTGTTTACAGCTTCAGGACGACGCGACCTTTTCAGTGGTTTCCCTAAGGAATGCCGAAATTCCATGCTGATGACGTGTCAGATCTGGGTAGTACTTCTGATGGTCGAAATGAAGGGAAACCAGCAATGATGGCGTCGGGAAATATCATGGGCGGTATTCTCAGGCTACTGCGTTGTTTAGAGCCGTCTTTGTTTGTTTTTGTTTGAGTTTTCCACACATTAATGACCCAGTCCCAAAGAAGAAACAATTTTTGCTGATAATTTGCTGAAACACGGCCTATAAACAAATTCACCCAAACCCAAGCTGAGATTTCTTAAGCAGCCAAAAGCACCTCATTTGCCTGTTTACCAGATTCACGAATTGTTAATACCACAAGCGCTAGCAGAAAATTGGAGAGGACAGAAAAAAATGCTTCAGCGTAAAGGATTAAGTCCGAAGCAATAGAAGAACGACAAAGGTTTTGACCCACACCAACGGTAATCCAAATTTTCGCCAAAGGTGTCCTCAAGTAAAATTTAAGCAAAGTTAACCAAACTCTTGCATGGGCAGCTTTTTGTATGGTGCACCTTCAATAACTGTTGTCCCAAAAACATGAGAAGGGAAAAAAAAGCTCACCTTCATTATCCCCGCAGTAACGCAGCCAACACACAGGAGGCTTAACTAACCGATACACGTAGAAAGCACCACAGTTTTGGATCTGAATATCGTTTTTCCAGTTGCAACATCTGGAACCCCAATGATAACAAACTCGACGAGTAACAATGCCTTCTCCTACTGATGGGTGCGAACCGTTCAGCCAGCCCGGAGCATGAGTACCACAGCGTCGTTTTGGTACACAGGATGTTGGCATTTTGTCGCCAGCTTCGCCAGTGAAGCGATACCAGGCTGGTAAAGGATGCAGGTGTCTCTGGTCACATCTCAGGTTCTTTTGATCTGTATTTGCTACGCTACGGTTGAAACCGTCAAGAACGTGATAGCTGCTGCATGGATTTGGTGCTAAACAGGAAACGGGACAACGTTAACTCAGCCCGACAAAGAAAGCAACAAGACTGGTGTTACAAGTCAACCGGTTATCTGCAGATACAAGGACACTCCTGGAGACACTACCCACACCAAAATTAGACTTAACCATGCATGTGTTAGTGTATGGGAAGAAAACCTGAGTATTTTGTGGAAACGTCCCACAGCAGGAAAGAAAACTGAAGAAAACTCAACCCACCCAATGAACTGACGCCAGGATTTGAACCAGGCCACACTGGTGGAGGCCGATAGTTCTCTTTCCTATACCGAACATTGCTGGAAACAGGGTTTCAGACACAGATCCTTCGCGGACATTTATTCTTTCAAAAGATAAATCAAATAATTATATCTTCAATAAAAAAAAACACAGATTAAATAACTGAGTGTTGTGCCTTAAAAGTAAAATTTTGCTTGTGAATAAACATGTTCTATCTTTCATACCTGGTGTGGTTGTTGGCGGAGGTGGTGTCGTTGTTGGTGGTGGAGGTGTTCCTGAAAAGATTACAAATATACAAACGAATCATACTCAAGCAGTTTCCTTCGTCGTTAACGTTTAGGGCCTTTAAAATACCTAAAAGCAGGTTCAGACTTTCGAAATTCTTTTAAACTTTTGAGTGGACGTTTTTAATCGCCAAAATTTTGGCTCTTACTAGTTTTTGAAATCGACATAGACATTTCATTCCTTTCGCCATGCAAAATTTACTAGCTCATCATTTGTATTCCTTGTTCCTCAATGTCTAACAGTTTTAATACTCAACAAGCAAACCCATATAGTGTGATAACAATGACAATTCGTCAAAACTTCCGTACAGACTTTTCCATAATCGTACAACTCTCTATCGCCCTTTATACGGACAAACTTGCCACTTTCAACTAATTTACATTAGGAAGATTTGACTGTAGATGAAAATCGTCCCCCAAAACAGTTAGAAGTTAAAAAAAAAAACAAAAACTAAATCTCACCTGCATTGTTACCGCAGTAACGCAGCCAACACACAGGAGGCTTAACTAACCGATATACGTAGAAGGCACCACAGTTTTGGATCTGAATATCGTTTTTCCAGTTGCAACATCTGGAACGCCAATGATAACAAACTCGACGAATAACAATGCCTTCTCCTACTGATGGGTGGGAACCGTTCAGCCAGCCCGGAGCATGCGTACCACAGCGTCGTTTTGGTACACAGGATGTTGGTATTTTGTCGCCAGCTTCGCCAGTGAAGCGATACCAGGCTGGCAAAGGATGCAGGTGTCTCTGGTCACATCTCAAATTCCTTTGATCTGTATTTGCCACACTACGGTTAAAACCGTCAAGAACGTGATAGTTGCTGCAGGGATTTGGTGCTAA